AAATAGACTTCCAGGAAATCCAGGAAGCCCAGAGAGTCCCAAAGAAGTTGGACCCAAGAAGAAACACACCAAGGCACATCATAATTACATTAGCCAAGATTAAAATGAAGGAGAGAATCTTAGAAGCAGCAAGAGATAAGGGGACAGTCACCTACAAAGGAGTTCCCATCAAACTGTCAGCTGATTTCTCAAAAGAGACCTTACAGGCAAGAAGGGGCTGGAAAGAAGTACTCCAAGTCATGAAAACCAAAGACCTACAACCAAGATTGCTCTATCCAGCAAAGTTTTCATTTAGAATGGAAGGACAGATAAAGTGCTTCTCAGATAAGACCAAATTCAAGGAGTTCATCATCACCAAGCCCTTATTATATGAAATGTTAACGGGACTTACCTAAAAAAAAGAAGATAAAAAATATGAACAGTGAAAGGACAGCAAACTCACAGTTATTAACAACCACACCTAAAACAAAAGCAAACCAAAAGGACAGCTAGATCAGGAGCAAAAACATAGAAATGAAGATCTCATGGAGGGTTAGCAATAGGGGAGTGGGAGGAGGAGGAGAAGGGGGGAGAAGGTACAGAAAATAAGTAGCATAGACGGTAGGTAGAAAATAGATAGGGGGGAGGGTAAGAATAGTAGGGGAAATATAGAATCTAAAGAACTTGAGACACATGGTCATAAACTAAAGGGGGGGAATCATGGGGGTGGGGGTGTGCAGGGTGGAGGGGAATGAAGGGGGGAATAGAACAACCATAATGGCATAATCAATTAAAAAAAAAAAGAAAAAGAAGGTAAATGGAGCCTTCAAGGAGTCTCTATAGCAGCACTGTACAAAAGAACTTCCTGTGGTGATGGACATCTTCTGTGGTCTATAGATTATACTGAGTACTTGAATTGTGGCTGGTGCAAATGTAGAACTCATTTAATTTTGCTTAATTTTGATTTAAATAACCACATGTGGCTAGTGGCTACCATATCGGACAGTTATAAAGTAATACCATCCAACAGAAATAGAATGTGAGCCACAAGTCTACATTTTCTAGTAGCCACATGAAAAAGAACTTTTTAAAAAAGTGAAATGATTTTAATAACACACATTTTATAAATCAATATACTTAAAATATTATCATTTCAACATGTAATCAACATGAAAATAATCATCAAGATATTCTGCACTGCATTTCCGTATTGCATTTTCAAAGCCCCGTGTGCACATCGCACTCACAGCGCATCTCAGCTGGGCACAGCCAGTGTCTCAGGTGTCCAACAGGTGTGCTGACAGAACAGCTCAAGAGAATCTTAAAGCCGTTTTTGCACCACCTCGTTCTCCCTTCCCCTTTCTCCCTAAATCCAAGGAGAAGAGTCAAGTCACAAGGACTCTTCCTCCTCCTGCTCCTTTAGCATCATATACCACACCTGGGTCCAGTAGGCTGCAAGTTATGCCCCATCTAAAACTTCCATAAGTTCCACCAAGTAGAGTAATTTAGTTTAATAAATAAATGCGGGCTGCAAGGAAGCCTACAGTCATTCACATCACAGTGTGGATTAAAGAGCTCTGCCACATGGAGAGAACAGTGCTCTACACCCCCTCATCAAGGAAGAGGATGAAACTCTCAATGACGTACTCTAAAGGAAGACTTATAAAAGGATTGAAAATAAAATAGCAACAAAAAGCAAAGCCCTTATAGCAACACTTGGAAGAAATAGCCACCCAATAAAATAATAATTGTTTTAACACAGAACTTCCAAAATGAATGGTTGGCAAACCAGTGAGCAATTTATTCCCTATGGTGGCAAAAGCAATCCTTATGCTGTCACTGTGACTTTCAGCCTTCTGAGTGGGAGTAGAGGGGAGCTGATATCACCTCAAGACCAAGGAATAGCCAAACAAGAGAGGCAATGCTGCCTGGTGCCTTGGGAAGAAAAGAAAAGGTAAGCTCCCCCATGAAAAGTTAGTCTACGTCTCATTAAAAGGCAAACATGACCTTCAGAGAAAAGACAGCAAGAGATAAATCTACCATATGAGAGCATGTAAAACAAAGAACTGGAAGCAAAGGGAAGTATAGTGGAAGAACATACAGAGTACTAAAGAAACAGGCATCAGAATAATACTTAAGAGACTTCTGGCCAGGCACAGGCATACATACTGTGCCTCCTTGCACAATCAAAAGGACAACAACAAACTTAAAAACAAAAAATGAGCATAACTGACAGAAAATCAAACTGTATGGAAGTCCAACAACCAAGGAGTTGAAGAAGAAACATTCATCCAGACCAGTAGGGGGGTGAAGATGGGCAGCTGGGACAGAGAGGCCTCTCAGAAAGGCAGAGGCTGAAGGACAGGGGTGGGCAAGGCGTGGTGAACCAGGTGAGGAGGTAGTTTGCAGACTGGACAGTCCCACATTCATGTGCAGATAAACTGGGAGGAACAACTGGGGAGCGAGATAGACTGCACAACCCAGGGTTCCAATGAGGGGAAATAAAGCCTCAAAATCTCTGACTGAAAACTCCTCTGGGGGTTCAGGTGGCAGAAGAAACTCCCAGCCTCACAGGAGAGTTCATTAGAGAGACCAACAGGATCCTAGAACACACACAAACCCACCCACCTGGGAAATCAGCACCAGAAGAGCCCAATTTATTTGTGGGTAGAGACGGAAGTGACTGAAAGCCAGCAGAGAGCGGAATGAGCACCACCGTTCCTTGTTGGGCCCCTGCCCCACATACAGCATCACAATTAGCAACTTGCCCAGCCCTGGTGAACACCTAAGGCTCTGTCACTTACTACATAACAAGCACTCGCAGACACAAAAAAAGAAAATGATCCAAATGAAAGAATAGTTCAAAGCTCCAGAAAAAATACAACTATGCGACAAAGAGATTGCCAACCTATCATCACGTGCACAGTTCAAAGCACTGGTGATCAGGATGCTCCAGGAACTCACTGGGTACTTCAACAGCATAAAAAGACCCAGGCAGCAATGAAGGTTACAGTATGTGAAATAAAGAGAAATCTACAGGGAACCAACAGTGTTGGGAAGGAAACTGGGACTCAGATCAACAGTTTGGAGCAGAAGGAAGTAAGAAACATTAAACCAGAACAGAATGAAGAAACAAGAATTCAAAAAAAAAAATGAGGAGAGGCTTAGGAACCTCCAGGACATCTTTAAACGTTCCAATATCCGAATTACAGGGGTACCAGAAGGGGAAGAGGAAGAGCAAAAAGTGGAAAACTTATTTGAACAAATTATAAAGGAGAACTTCCCCAATCCGGCAAAGGAAATAGACTTCCTGGAGGTCCAGGAAGTCCAGGGAGCTCAGAGTCCCAAAGAACTTGGACCCAAGGAGGAACACACCAAGGCACATCACAATTACATTACCAATGATTAAAGAGAAGGGGAGAATCTTCAAAGCAGCAAGAGGAAAAGAGACGGTCACCTACAAAGGAGTGCCCATTAGACTCTCACCTGATTTCTCAAAATAGACCTTACAGGCAAGAAGGGGCTGGAAGGAAGTACTCCAAGTCATGAAAGGCAAGGACCTACATCCGAGGTTACTCTATCCAGCAAAGCTTTCATTTAGAATGGAAGGGCAGATAAAGCACTTCTCAGATAAGGTCAAGTTCAAGAAGTTCAAGTTCAAGCCCTGATTATATGAAATGTTAAAGGGACTTACTTATTTAAGAAGAAGATAAAAATATGAAAAGTAAAATGACAACAACCTCACAGCTATTAACAATTGAACCTAAAAAAGACAAAAACAAAAACAAACTAAACAAACACCTAGATCAGGAACAGAATCACAGAAATGAAGATCACATGGAGAGTAATCAGTGGGGGAGTGGGATGGGGAGAGAGAGGGAAAGCATACAGAGAATAAGTAGCATTAAGTAGCGTAAATAGTAGGTAGAAAATGGACAGGGAGAGGGTAAGAACAGTATAGGAAATGTAGAGGACAAAGAACTTGTATGTATGGCCCATGGACACGAACTAAAGGGGGAATGTGGGTGAGAGGGGTGTGCAGGGTGAAGGGGAATGAAGGGGGGAATGGGACAACTGTGATAACATAATCAATAAAATATATATTTTTTAAAAGAATACTATTTAATATTTGCCTATAATTAAGGTACTCGAAATTCAGTAAATATCTCATTTGAGCCTGACAACAATCTGGGAGGTAAAGAAGATGTAATTTAACCCAAGTTCACAAATAAGGAAACCCAAAGACAAGCAGCTAAAGTGATTTACCTGAAGCTCATGAAGGAAAGAAATGAATCAATTACTTTTTTGTTCTGAATAAATGTGTATGTGTAATACTAATTGCTCTAATGAACATAAAAACAGGACAAGAACATAGCATAATCTCTGTGCTTGGGAAGAGCACATTTACACATAATAATTATTTAAATTGATTTAAAAATCTGAAAATGTTGCTCTGGCCAGGTGGCACAGTTGACAGAGTGTCATCCAGTACACCAAAGGATTGCAGGTTTAATTCCTGGTCAGGGCACATACAGATGACAACCAATCGATGTTTCTCTCTCACATTGATGTTTCTCTCTCTCTCCCTCTCCTCTCCCACCTTCCTCTCTCTCTAAAACCAATGAACATATCCTCAGGTAAGGATTTTTCTAAAAATCTGAAAATTCTGAGGTTTCCTAGTTGAATTTCCTTTCTTAACATTTACATCAGTGGTTAGCATTGTCCAAGGGCTTTTGGAGAAAGAATGAAGTATGCAATGCTGGGGCTATATCCCTGAAGATTCTGACTGAAGTGGGGTCTGGGGAGAGCCCCAACATGTGTATTTTATCAAGTGTTACAGGTGGTTCCGTTGCACCCTAAAGGCTGAAGAGCATTGCTTCCACTGGTAGAAAAAGGTACCACAGGACAGCTGAGGCTCCAGGAATGCATGTGATTAAGGGGCGCCAACCAAAGTACTCCACCATCTCTGGAAAAAGGCCTTCCTCCCCAAGCTTTGTCCAGGTTCAGGCCTCCCGAAGTACCTGGCTCTCGGGACTGGCTATCATCACAAATGTGCAGGTCCAGGCGGGAGATGAGCAGATGGTAGGAGGACTCTTTCACATCAAATTTCTCAAAGTACTGGCTGAGGCGGTTGGTGCTGCTGCTGCTGCTGCTGCTGCCACCGCTGCCCTGGCTGCCACCAAATGCCTGGGCCCAGGACTGCTGGGGTGGGGTGATCTACAAGTGATGGAAAGAAAAACAAGACGTCCACACCCTGAGACTCCTCTGCAGGCTTTTTTTAAGCTTTAGTCCAACCTGAAGAAAAGTACAATTGAGCAAGATCCCCTTCCTCTTGTAACTCTTCACCTGGCAACTCAGGTCTGTCCCTAAATTACCCAAAATTCCAAAAAGCCTAATTATAATTAGTCTAGTAACTATCAGAGTACTGTTCTGAGGTCTAAGCTGCTCTCCAAGCTCTTACCCGCCCCCCCCCCCCCAGGACTGAGCTGACAGATGCTAAAACACTTCCTCAGGAACTCGTTCCTAAATGCCCTCTTTCGGCCCAGGTGGTCAGATGCCTTGTGCCCTCATAGCACAGTGTTTATCTCTGTTAAAGCACTTTTCACATCATATTATAATAGCTTGTTGATGGTCCATATTACAAAACAAGAGAGCTCCAAGGACAGGAACAAGATGTTTATTCCTCTTTTCCTCTCCAGTGGGTAGCACTGTATACCTAACATACCAGAGGCACCCAATGAACAGAATAATGAATCAATCAGAGGCCGAAGCAAAGCCTATGCTCACACATCCAAAAGGAAATAACAACCCCCTCCAATAAGCCAAAAAAGTCTGGACTCCCCCTATGTTGGTATAAATTAAGTCTGGCTGACCACTTCCCCAGCCCCACCCAGGGTATCTGTTTTGCCTCTAACCTGTACAGGTTCAGGGGCCAGGCTCTTCCTCTGTTGGGCTGACTTCTCCATGGCCTCACTCAGTGACTCTGCATACTTCATCATAGCCTTGAGCTGTGAGTCGGTCAGCACCCAGAGCAGGTCGTCCAACAGGAACATCAGCTTGGAGGCTACCACATTGCAATCTTTGGTCTGAAGGGGCCACACAGAACACAGATTCAACATCTCACACCATTCCAACTCCTCAAAGTAACCACCACCGAATCAATTTCAGAGATGGCTTTTCAATCCCCAGGACATGAAAGTAAAGTATCAAGCACTTTGGAGAATCAATTTCTTAAAACTTATACTAAAGCAGCAAAAGACAACTGCCAGGTCCCTATGTCAGTGTCCCTACTATGGGTAGAGACTGGGGTTTCCAAAACTGAGATGGCAGGGAGATGGAAATGTTCTCTTCTTACTGGGTACTTTGCAACACTGAAGCACAGGCCCGGCTTTTCCAACTGTCATTCCAGATGCTGATAGCATCAAGAAAAGAGAGTGCACCAACTCCCAAGCTGTTCAGGAGAACGGGAATTGGAAGTTTTTCAAGGACAGAGGACACTCACTCTTCTCTTGAGAGCTATCTGGATCCTGCCCTGGTTGGTAATGAGCCTCAGTGGGGTGGTAACCAGGTCCTGATCACCACTGTCAGTTGCATCTGCCTCAATCCGAAGTGTTTGCCAGGTTATTTCCTTAAATGTTAAAACCTAGAAGAAAAGAGTAAAATCCGTTATTTCTGTGGATAAGATTAAGCAAAAGGTGGGCAACCCAAGGGGAACAGACTGGCAAGGCAGAGAGACTCCCACCATTCCCAGCTGGGATTTTACCAATACAAGGCCGCGGATGAGAGATCCGTAACTGAGGAAGGATAGAGCAATAGCACTGGACAGAGAAGTGAAGTTCCTACGTTCCCAGGAACAGGGGATCATTGGAGGAAACCCGCAACACAGGAATACTATCCTTCAAGATTTAGTCCTACTTTAAACACCCCCATTCTCTCCTCTTGAAATGTGAGGGCTGTCACCTCTCCTCGGTGGGGGTCGGTGATGCGGGTGAGGCGGAGGTCACTCTGCTGCCAGTTGGGGTTGACACTATAGCCCTGGAGCTGCCACAATTCAAAAGAAGCGTGGAAGGCCTTGGAGTGAATCTTGATAGTGATGGAATTGACGATGATGAACATCCCCTCCACCACCTTCTCAGCGAAGCCATACTCGCTACAACAAACGAGGTAGACCAGCGTTCAGAATCAGGTGCAACCGGACACACTCTTTATACTGGAGGACATCAGCATAAACAGTTCCCACCTTTGGGATGTGAAAACTATACATAATTTTTTTCTTTATTTCTCGCCTCACATTTCTACTTTCTGGTATTTTTTAATTTCAAATAAAATTTTATGATGATACAGTACTTTTTAGTAAGATTTTAAAAGATTTTTATTTATTAACTTACTCTAGAGAAAGGGGAAGGGAAGGAGAAAGGGAGGGAGAGAAACATCAATGTTAGACAGAAACATTGATTGTTTGCCTCTGATATGAGTCCCAACTGGGGACCAAACCTGCAATCCAAGCATGTGCCCTGACTGGGAATCAAACTGGTGACCTTTCACTTTGTGGCATGATACTCAAGAACTGAGCCACACCAGTCATGACTTTTAATGGAATTTTTTTTTAAATAATGAATTAAAAGAAAAAAGAGTTTACCTGGAAACAATCTCCCTCTTCTTTCAAAGATTAAATTGGAAAAAAAATTTACAGTCCACAAATTAACTGAAATAAACATTTGACTATTTTCTGTGAGGGGAACTTTAACTACAGAAAGGAAACATTAGGTTTGTATAAAATCTTCCAAGTCAGAACATACTCTGCAAAGGTATGGGGAAGAGGAAAGAAACACACTAGGTGAGCAAGAGGTTAATACTGTAAAATCTAATCAAGAGTAGTCCCACCTTTACCCTAGCAAATATATCCCAAAGACCATAGCTGTACTTCCATAGTGAGAGGCCAGAAATGGCAAGCTGAGGAATGAAGGCCACCTTAGAGTATTTCTGGATGTGCAAAACAAAGACATTCTTGACATGTAGGTGAAGTCAGTTCTTATTATGAGATGAAAAGGTCAGAAAATTACAAACTAAAACAAACAAACACACCCAGCTGACCCTTTAACAACGCAGGGGCTAAGGGCACTAACTCCCCCGGGCCATCAACAATCCACGAAACCTCACATACAACTTTTGACTCTTCCCAAATCTTAACTATTGGAATACTAAAAGCCTGCTGTTGACCAGAAGCCTAACCAGTAACATAAACAGTTGATTAACACACAGTTTATATGATATATGTATTTATACTGTATTCTTAAAATAAGTAAGCTAGAGAAAACAAAATGTTATTAAGAAAAGCATATGGAAGAGGAAACACATTTATAGTACTGTACATATTTATTTTAAAAATTCTGGGAAGAAACCCACAACCACATCAAAATTACAACTAAACTACAGAACCACCATTATTCAGAACCACCAAAAATTGAGCTGAATGAAGAAGTCCTACAACTACAGAATTAAAGAAGAAACCACATCGAGACTGGTAGGAGGGGCAGAGGCCCAGAATGGGCTGGTCCAACACCCATGTGTAGTGGATAAAAATAGGGAGGGGTATGTTGACGTGACAGATCCCACTCCCACACCAGGGCCCCCAGACCCAAGAGTTCAAGTGCCAGGAAGATAAGTCCCTATAACTTCTGGCTGTAAAAATCAGTGGGGATTGAGGCTGTGGAAGACAAAAATTGCTAGATTCCCAGGCAGTTTCTCTTAAAGGGCCCATGCTCAGACTTACTCAGTTAGTTACTCTGAGCTCCAGCACTGGGGCTCCAGCTTGAAAGACACCAGAGGCATATGGGCAGAAACTGAAGTGTCTGACATCAGGGTGAGAGCCAGAGGACAGCTTTCGACCAGGCAGAACTGCTGGCAGAGGACACTGTCCCTTTTCTGTGCCCGTTTCTTGTCTGAGACTCCCCGCCCCAGAGCTGGCAGGCAGGCGTCATATCTGAGACTACATCAACCTGGCTCACAGTGTTGCCCCACCCTGGTCATGCCCTGAGGCTCTGCCTCACCCAGTCTTCAGGCCCGCCCAAGCTCTTTCTAGTGGCTTTTCCATACAAATGGCCTGTCTTAGCTCATGCTTCAGATTTTCCTATAAAATCTCTCAAACAAGCAGCATCTGCCCTCAGCGTGCCCCATACCTTTCACTAAATGGCTCCAGGCCCAGCACTAGCAAAGCCATCCTTGGTTCAAAGCTTGGCCTTGCTTGGACATCTCCGAGCCCAGCACAAGTAGTGACCATCTGCAGATCACTTGGTAACTTATGCCACATGGCCCCTGTCAGAATACAGGTTGTGACTGACCTTGGCCTGTACCTCCCAGAAGGCCCCCAAGCCAGCACACCCAATAAACTGCTTCACACCATGTTGAAGCACCACCACTCAACCACCTTCACAAAGGACACACTCAAGGGGCAGACTCAGAGGGCACATGAGCCCCACTAAGTCCTGCTCTGTGGGGTAGGCCCCTGCCAACCATGATCTTCCATGGTTGTCAGTGGTCACAGTCAGTCATTGCAGCCAATTGGCCTGAGGGTAAATCCCTCCCACTGACCTGCCAATAGCAATCAAGGCTCAACTACAACAGGAAGGTGTACACAGCCCATGGGGAGAGGTGGGGGTACACCTAGAGGGCCCAGCTTGAGGTCATCAGGAACACTCTGCCACTGGACCCTACAGGACATCTACTACATTGGTCACTCTACCAAACCCAGGAGACGTAACAGCTTCACCTAATACTTAGAAACAAACACCGGGAGGCAGCCAAAATGAGGAGACAAAGAAACATGGCCCAAATGAAAGAACAGAACAAAACTCCAGAAAAAGAACTAAAAAAAAATGGAGACAAGGAATCTATTAGATGCAGAGTTTAAAACACTGATTATAAGAATATTCAATGAACTTAGTGAAAAACTCAACAATATGAAAAAGGACTGGTCAAAAATAAAGTACATACTAAGTGAAATTAAGAATAATTTACAGGGAATCAACAGTAGAGAAGATGAAGTCAAGAATCACATCAGTGATGTGGAATATAAGGAAGCAAAAAAACACCCAATCAGAACAGCAAAAAGAAAAAAAGAATAAAAAAATGAGTATGGTGTAAGGAGCCTCTGGGACAACCTTAAGTACACCAATGTTCATATCATGAGGGTGTTGGAAGGAGAAGAGAGCAAGAAATTGAAAAAATATACTGGAAAAAATAATGACAGAAAACTTCTTTAACTTGGTGAAGGAAATAGGCACATGAGCCCAGAAAGCTCAGAGATTCCCAAACAAGATGAACTCAAAAGAGGCCCACCCCAAGATACATCATAATCAAAATGCCAAAGGTTAAAGATACAGAGAGAACTTTAAAAGCAGCAAGGGAAAAGCAGAGTTACCTACAAGGGAGCTCCCATAAGAATGTCAGCTGATTTCTCAACAGAACCGTTGCAGACCAGAAGGGACTGGCAAGAAACATTCAAAGTGATGAAAAGGACCTACAACCAAGATTACTCTACCCAACAAAGTTATCATTTAGAATCAAAGAGTAGATAAAGAGCTTCCCAAACAAGAAAAAGCTAACGGAGTTTATCATCACCAAACTAGTGTTATATGAAATGTTAAAGGGTCTTCTCTAAGAAGAAAAATATACATAAATATGGACAATAAAATTGCAATAAATACATACCTATCAACAGCTGAATCTAAAAAACAAAATAAATGAATAAGCAGAACAAAAACTCATAGATATAGAGAACATTTTGACAACTGCCAGATGGGGGAGTTTTGGGGAGATTGGCAAAAAAGGTGAATGAATTAATAAGTGCAAATTGGTTGGTACAGAAGAGTCATGGGGATGTGAAGTACAGCATAGGGAATATAGTGAATACTATTCTAATAACTATGTATGGTGTGGATGGGTGCAAGATTGATCGGGATGATCCCTTAGCCAGTATGTAATACCTAACCACTGGGTGTGCATCTGAAACTAATATAGTAATGTGTGTCAACTTGTAATTGAAAAATTTTAAATGATTTAAAATAAAAATATGTAAACACTGTGTATTAAATAAAATATTGTAACTCTCAAAAGAAAACAAATCATCAGAATAGTGTCATGCTTTATTTTTCCTTTTCTTGAAAATACCTTTCCCCTAGAACTGAACACTAGAAAGGCTTCAAGGTAATGGCAACTCAAAGAATACCATCTTCCCCAGACTGTAGTCTCTACATAACATTTCTTAGTCAAAGGAATCAGGGTCTCTTGGAGAGATATCTGATTCCAGGTCCCAGGTAAGGATGTATAGAGAAGCCTGAAAATCTTGCACTGTTTAAAAGCAGGAAAATTACTGGGATCTTGTCCAAAGGACATAGGTGATGATTTTGAAAGGTTCTCACTGGCCAATGATAGGGACATCAGAACAGCAAAAAGAATAATGACTGTAAAAGTATGACATACAGCAAATATATTTAAAAAGTACATATAAATGTAGGATATAAAAAAGTAAAATGAGAAAGCATGTTAAAATATGTAAAATGTAGCCCTGGCTGGTGTGGCTCAGTGGACTGAGCACTGCCCTGAGAACCAAAGGGTCACCAGTTCCACTCCCATTCTAGGGCACATGCCTGGGTGGTGGGCCAGGTCCCCCCAGTGGGGGGCGCATGAAAGGCAACCACACACTGGTGTTCTTCTCCTTCTCTTTCTCCTTCCCTTTCCCCTTTCTAAAGATCAATAAATAAAATCTTTTATTAAAAAAAATATAACATGTAACACGAATGTAAAATAGTAAACCACTCTAGAAAAGTATGACAGTTTCTAAAAAACTTAAATCCTTACCTACCATACCACTCTACCATTACATTCCTAGATATTGACTCAGTGGAAATAAAAGCACGTAACCTCACAAAAACTTCGATATGAGTGTCCATAGCAGCATTATTCACAATAGCCAAAAACTGAAAATAAAATGTCCATAAACAAGTGAATGGAAAACAAGCTGTGGTATATCCACACAATGGAATATTATTACTCAACAATAATAGGAATAAACTATTGATACACTCAACAACATGGATGATTCTCAAAATAACCATGCTGAATAAAAGAAGCCAGACCAAAAAAACAGTGTGTATGTGATTTCATTTATATAGTTACAAAAATGCAACTAATCTATAGTGATAGAAGGCAATGTTTGGGGATAGGAGGAGGTAGGAAGGGAAGGGAGAGGATACAAAGGAAAAGGTCACTACGTGTGGGGGTGACCATGGGTATGTTCATTATCATGGATCGTGCTGATGGTTTCATGGGTATATGCATATGCCAAAACTTATCAAATTGTATACTTTATACATGTGCAGTCTATTTAATGCCCAATACACCATAATAAAGCTGTAAAAAAAGCAAAACCCATGATTTCAAAAGTACACCTCTTCCTTCTTCTCCCCACCCCCCCAAAATCTCTTTAGAGATTAAGCTGTCAACTCATAACTGTTTTTCTAGTTATATATTTTATTTATAACATTGTGTTAGTTTTAGGTACATAGGATTTTTATATTTGGTAAAGGTAAAGAATCCAGCATTCATCCTGACATACCTGTAAAAACTATATTTCAGGGTACTCAAATAGCTGGTTAAAGAAAATTCTTTTTCTTTTTAATTAATTAATTTATTTTCAGAGCGAGGGAGAAAGAGACGGAGAGAAACACAGATTGGTTGACTCTCACACGCCCCCAACCAGGGACCTGGCCCACAGCCCAGGCCTGTGCCCTGACTGGGAATCAAACCAGCAACCCTTTGGTTTGCAGGTTGGTGTTCAGTCCGCTGAGCCACACAAGCCAGGGCTATTTCTGAAATATTCTTTAAAAAATAATTAAATCAAATCAAGCCTTTAATTCTAACTACCAGACTACATGAGAAACATTTTAAATGACACTAAGAATCTGGGAAATTCTTTATAAAAAATAATCCAGTTATTAAAAAGAATAAATGATATATTAAAAAGTGGGGTGGGGTCGGTGTTTAGAATTAAAAAGTTTTAAAACTCTTATCACCCAAGTATAATGTACATAGTTCTTTGATCCACATTGTATTATAAAAAACATTTTAGAGACAATTCAGGAAAATTGAATATGAAATATAGAGAATATTAAAGAATTCCTATTAATTCTATTCATTGTGATAATGGTATTATGGGTTCTTTTTTCTTCTCAGTCCTCGTCTGTCAAAGATACATGACACAGAAGTATTCATGGGTGGAATTATATGGTGTCTGAGATTTGCTTTCAAGTGCTACAGCACAAACACACACACACCACACAAAATGGCAGGAGAAAGGTGAAAAAATGACCAAATGTTAGTAACTGTTGAAGTGAGATCTTGGGTGCATGGGGGTTCATTATCCTGTTCTCTCTACTTAAGCGTATGTTTGAAATTTTCCAAAATAAAGTTTTTATTTTTTAACTTAAAGGTGATCTGGACCAGTTAACCTTTCCAACTAACCTCTGTCCTGAAGCGAGGGCAATGGGAGACTGTCCATTGGGAGGCCGAGGCTCCTCGCATGTCTTCATCTCCACCTCCACCTTATCCAGACACTGAAATAAAAGCCATGAAGAGCTAAGCGTCTGCACAAAAACCCACACAGCACAGGCTGTGTCTTGTTCGTCCCTGTGTTCCAGTGCCTAGCTGAGTGCTATGTTCACAGTGGGAAGACAGTTAATATCTGTTGAATGAATGAACAAACTGAAATACAAAGAGAGGTCTCATCTTTCCCCTTTCATTTCCATTAGCAGCAAAACTCTTAAACAAGTATGGGATTAGCTCCCAGCAGAAAACTGAAACATAAATCCCAGTTACAGAGATATTACCGTTCCTCTTGGGATTCCAGTCTTTGGGATAAAGATACACATCAATCAGTTATTTAAGAGCTGTCATTTGATAATCACCTAATAGTCAACATGAACTAAACTTCTAATTTTTCCTTTGTTAGGAGTCTAAGAAAAAATAAGGAAATCTAAAGGTTGTACCTGGGCAGCAAAACTTGTGAAAAACAACAAAACAAAACCAACTCAGGCCCTGACCGGCACAGCTCAGTTGGTTGAGTGTCATCCCACAGAGCAAAACATCGCCGGTCCAATTCGAGGTCAAGGTACATGCCTGGGTTGCAGGCCTGGTCCCCGGTTAGGGCATGTGCAAGAGGCAACTGATCAATACTTCTTTCTCCCCCTCCATTCCCCTCTCTCTAAAAATTAAAAAAAAATTTTTTTTAAACCCTCAGGACTCCTGGCTCAAATGTCTCAACGCTCATCTCTATACTGCCCAGCAGTTACAGAGTGAGTCCAGACAATAGTCACTCTGTCTCAGAGAGAAGCCACAGGCCAGACAAAGCACCGACAGCTCCCTAAAAGGGACAGCTTATCAGGACCCCTCTACATCTTCTCTCAGATCCCTTAAAACCACACCCCAGTAATCCCCACTTAATTATTTGCAATCAAGACAAGCCATTACCAAGTAAATTGGGTGCGTCTTCAACTTTGTCCACTGGATCTGAAAGAGAAAAGCAAAGACTCAGACTGTGGAAGGCAGGCCTGCCGACCAAAGAGAACAACAGCACTCTGACCCCCATTCTCACCCGGATGGAGGCCCTGTTGCAGTAGACCCGAGTGATGGCTAACCAGGTAGGCAGTTCCAGCACATTCTGTAGAACCTCTTCATCTAGTTCTAGGTTGGTCAGCTGACCCTCCCCTTTCAGGGTGCTCAAATTGATTTTGTCTGGGGAAAGATTCTTAGTAAACCTGGAAAGAATAATGATAAGAAGCTATTATTTCCATGGGAACCTGCTAAACAGGCATACAGCCAATAACACTTCTGAATTTAGGGAAAAGAGAACATTAATAACAAACATCTAATGACCACTGCCTCTACACTACATAAAATGTTGGGTGAGACCTATTATTATACTCACAATTATGTCATCTTTCTTCTTTTTCTTTTTATAATGGAGATATATATAGAGATATATATATATATAAAATCACAGTTATATAAATGCTTAGATATACTTATTCCAAAATAGGTATTACTAGTTCTGTTTTTTATTGAATTTATTGGGTTGGCATTGGTTAATAAAATTATATAGGTTTCAGGTTTATGATTCTATGATACCTCGTCTGTATATTGTACTGTGTGTTCACCATCCCAATTCAAGTCTTCTTCCATCCCCATTTATTCCCCCCGTACCCTCTTCTTCCTCCCCATGCCATCTTTTTACTCAAGAACCTACAATGAAGATTCTGGGGAAATGGCTGTAGCAGTGACAACACAGCTTTTTGATATTTCTGAATGCCCACATAAAAACAGCAATTAGATAGCAACACAAAAAGCCCATGGATAACATTTAAAACTAGAAAATAAGCCCTGGCTGGTGTAGCTCAGTGGATTGAGTGTGGGCCTGTGAACCAAAGGATCGCGGTTCAATTTCCAGTCAGGTCACATGCCTGGGTTGCAGGCCAGTTCCCAGCAGGAAACACATGAGAGGCAACCATACATTGATATTTCTCTCCCTCTCTCCTTCCCTTCCCCTCTAAAGATAAATAAATAAAATCTTTAAAACTAGAAAATAAAGCATCCTTCTAACCCCCCATATACAAGCAAGAAGGGGAAAACATCAACAACCATAAGACACGAGTGCTGTAAGCAGCTGTGCAGATCAACACAGAGGAAAATGACAGCGCATCTGATGGATCACAGAACAGAAGAATCCCAAGACAACCAAGAGCTAAATAAAACACCATGTGACCAATTTGAGATAGCAATCGAAATTGGTGGGGTTCTGTCCACTACAAGAGGTCCTCAGTGAGGCCCAAAGGAGCTAGAACAGTCTAGCCCTATAAACTCATATAAACTAACAAAGGCTCCTTCCCGGGGCAGGGGCCTAGCACTGAGAAGAAAATGCTAGGAGAGGAATCCAAATTGAGTAAGATGGGGTAACAGAAATGAAGAGTCCAACTTAAAATGGGGGTGGAGAGTGGGGGAAGGCCAGTCCAGGACATTTCAGAAAACAAGCAGGTATATTTTTAACACTACTTAAAAAAACATAAGAGGGAGCTCTACACACTTAAAATATGAACAAGTAAGACACTAATTATTAGCAATTAGGTAGGGTAAAATGAACCCCAGGCCCTTACACATACCTTTGATGTGATAAAAGAACACACAGCCGCCACCTACAGTCTTGCTAAAGGGACTGGACCTGAATCTCATCATGCTACTGGGTCTAGTTGCTAATCTTCAGGAAATACAAGACAGACAAAAACTGCTGAACTGCACTGTAAATGTGCAATCAGTAAGCCTAGACCATGGGAAACTCTAGTCAGTTGGCCTGGACATAAACAATTCACACAGGTTAGTCTTCTCACTATTCCACATTCATGGTCTCATCTTTGCTCAGGTGCTGGGCCACTCACTCCCTTTCCTGGAGCACCCTCATCATGATCTGCCAATCAAGGCCCAACTCAAAACATCCTTTCTCACTGAGGCTTTCTCTCCCCAACTGCTGCAATGCACATTAAACAATTAGGATCTTAGGATATTCTGTAATTCTCTCATGTGTAACCACTCCTGAGCAATTAGATGTTCAGCACTTTGAAGTCAGTGCAGGCTTAGCCGCCCTTCCTAATCGAAATGGTTACCTCACAGAACGCTCAGCCTGTGCACCTCTTAGCTAAATGCACTGCTAGCTCGCTACTCCCAGCTCCCTTCTCTCATCTCCATCAGCTGATCAATTTAAGGCCAGTTTCTCATAGCGTAACCTTCTCCTGTGAGACAAACTGTCTTGATGAATCTCATTCCTGTAACTCTTTTTTACTGCTTAGCATCATTATTTTCCACACACTAGTTAATTGCATTCTGCCCCCTATCCATAACTATACTTAGCCTTTACATATATTAGATGCTAATAGTTGACTTTGGAGTTGTATATTGTTTATTAACTTTTATTTTTTACACATGTCCTTTCTTTTTACTAAGCTGTGTTTTTGGTTTTCCTTGAACCATAAGATCATGACATATAAAAGCTTTAATTTTTTTCGATAATGCCTAACATGGTACTATGTACAAAAGTTCTTTAACAATTTTTTAAAGATAGTAAAAAATTTTAGAGGTTTATAAACACACAAAACAATACTGTGTGATAATAAGGAATACACAGGAATGCACTGGCATGGTAACAAATTCAGGGAAGGACTTACTTACCTGTGGGACGAGGGAGTTTCCACAGGAAGTTTCGACTGTATGGAAAACACTTATTTCTCAGGTTGGGAGGTGACTGTTCATTATATTACCCTTTTTACCTTTTCACATGGCAACTATTTTATATGAAATCTTTCTAAGATTTCAGTCAGTTACCTACTGTATTCACTACTGGGAAAACTACTCTGCCATGGGTCTCTCAAGCTGGCCACACTGTCTTGCTGGTGCTAAAAATGCACGACCCTCACCAATCCTCACCCAGCCCACTTCTCAGGACTGTGTTGCAAAGAGCAGCTTTGAGGGATGAAGTAACGTCCCCTTCAGGAAGAGGAGGCTTGCTTATTGCATACCAAAAACAATGGATTCCCCAAGCTCAACGTGCCATTTCTGTAACACATGTGGGGCCATCTATCTAGGCTCATTCAAGACACTCCCATGGGACTTGGGGGTTGGGGAGGGAACTAACTGCAAGCATATGCTTAGGCTGCTTACTGGGCATAAGTAATTAAGTCCCTTGTGTCTAATCCAAGAGTCTCGTAACACACGCATGAACTGTAGCAGGCTAATTATTAGCTTCTAAATACAGTAAAATTAAACCCCAGACCCTTACACATACTTTTCACAGACATGGGAGCAATGTGGTGATTGTGGAGGTGGCAGGGTATAAGGCAGATAAATGGTCATGGAAAAAAAATACAATGAAAAAAAAAGAAAAATTAATAAAAAGAAATCTAAATCAACATTTACTAAGTATGAACCAATTTTATTCTCTGAAACAAAAAGACAAGCTTTCTCTAATGGCTCCTATTGTCTGGAAACTACAGAGGAAAAGAATTCCTCTTTTCCTGCAAGAAATGACTGCAAGGAAGCAGAATTATAAAACAGAAGAAGAACTTATATAATACTTCCATGACATGAAACAACAACTGAAAGAAAAGGAAGATAAGTGAATGCCCTGAGGAATTTGGGGGAGGGAAGAAAAGGAAGGCAGCAAATGGAACTCAACATTATTTGTAATCACTAGGTACAGAAAGGCTTTCTTTCTCAAGCCCCTTGTGTATTTAAATAGGATATTACAATTATTATTTCCTCCTAGCAAACCTTCCTCCATTGTTAAGTATTCAGGAAAGCCACAGCAGCTCAGAAATTGGGGCGGGCATCCTTTAGAAGTATTTGTCGTAAAGATAAGAATATTTAAAGACGTAAAATTAGTTTGTAAAGACTGTATGTATCCTCCTGTCCTCCCCACGGATTCTAACAAGACCCCATCTTCCTATCAGAGCTGACACATGGCAGGAATGGCTACTGACAGAGACAGGAGTGAGGGTCCCTCTAGTACGCAGGAGTGGGGAGAAAGGCTGAGAATTGCTAACGTAAGTTACTTGTCCTCATGATAAAAGGGCATTTTTAGAAAAATTAAGTGATAGAGACTTTTTTGAGTATTGGATTGGCCAAAAAGTTCATTCAGTTTTTTCATAAAATAAGACACATTTTTCATTTTCACCAATAACTTTATTGATTTGGATATTTTGAGTATGTTGGCTAAGACAACTAAGTACTAACTACTACAGCCATCTTACAGGAAATCCCAAGCACACTTTTTGGCCAACCCAATATATTTCCCTGGAAAAAGAGGAACATGCTTCAAATAAAATGAAACATAAACAGTCAAGAATGAATTACACTGCTTGTTAGCACTGATATTCTCAGAATGATTGTTCATAGTTACCACAGATCTAATTGTACATCATACTCTATACAAAAATCTAACTCTATTTACAGCCCCATATAAAATAAATGTCATTTTTAAAGCCTTGAATTAAACTGTATGAGATTGTGTTACATTTCATCTTAACCTTGTTAGTATTCAGGGCAATGCAACTCAAACTATGTGCCTCTGATCACATGGGTAGAATCACTTTAATATGTTTATTTTAACACACTCCAGATATACTGAATCACACTGGGGAGGTGGGTAAGGAATCCACATTTTTAACAAACTCAAGGTGATTTCTTCTGTTCTTTAAAGTTTGAGAATAGTTTAAGGTTTCAGTCAACCAACTAAAATACTTCAAGGAAGAGAAAACCGGAGTCTGCAGATGGAAAAGAGATGCGAAAATTCGTCCTTCAAGAACAAAGTTTTCAACTTCCATCATTATGGCTTGGTGGTTAAGAACACAGGCTTCAGAGTTAGACTTGGGCACAAAACCTGGTTCTCTCACTTATTAACACTGGGAGTGCAGGCAAACTGTTCAACCAACCTCACAGGGCTGCTGGGATTGAAAGAGCTAACTCTCATACATTTAATACCTGGCATTTATTAAGTGCTCAATAAATAAATCTCAATCACTGTTATTTCTGGATTCTACTACCCTCTCCCTTTAGGATAGGCTTAAATGATTCTCTTTTTTAAAAAAAGATTTAGATAATCATTTCAACATGTATACAAATGTCAAATCATATTGTACAACTGAAACATGTAATATTGTATGTCAAAATTTTAAAAGGTTTAGGAGGCTTCGGTTATTACCTGAGAACTCGAGTT